GCCCAAGAACAGAATCTTGGGGTACCCCAACAGAAATAGTAAGAGGAGCGGAGGAGGAGGATTTGTATGTGACACTGAAAGTGCACTGAGAAAGGTAAGAGGAGAACCAGGAGAGAGCAGAGTCACGGAGGCCGATGGAGTGGAGTTTACTGAGGACGAGCGGGTGGTGGGCTGTGTCAAAGGCAGCGGAAAGGTCAAGGAGTATGAGTATGGAGTAGTGGCCGTTGATTTTAGCACTTAGTAGGTCATTAGTGAGTTTTAGTAGGGCAGTTTCTGTGGAATGTTGCGGGCGGAAGCCAGACTGTCGAGGATCAAGAAGGTTGTTGTCGGTGAGGTAGCAGTTCATACGGTTGTGAACAAGGCGCTCGAGAAGCTTGGAGGCAAACTGGAGCAGGGAGATGGGTCTTAAGTTATTCAAACATGTGGGGTCCAGCGAGGGTTTTTTGAGAATGGGGGTAACCAGTGCATGTTTGAGTGGGGAGGGAAAGGTGCCCATGGAGAGTGAGGTTGAAGATGTGGGTTAGAGAGTTTAGGATAGAGCAGGAAGGAGGCTGCAACAGTCGCGAGGGGACAGGATCCAGGGGACGGGGTGAAGTGGGCCTTGGAAAGGAGATCGGTAACTTCCTTGGAGGTAACAGGGTTGAAGGAGGAGAGTGTTGAGTTTGGAGTTGGGCCTGGTATGTTGGTTAGAGGAGGAAGCTTGACACTGGAGATCTCATCACGAATTGTGTCAATCTTGTTCTTGAAGTGACTGGCAATCTCCTGTGCAGTAGGTAAGTTGGTGGATGGAGGCAGTGGGGGGTGAAGTAAGGAATTAAGGGTAGAGAAGAGTTGACGAGGATTGGATGAAAGGGTCTTGATGAGAGTGTTTATAGTAGGTTTGCTTAGCAGCGTGGAGGCTGGAGTTGTATTTAAGAAGAGTGGATTTGTAGAGGGTTAAGTCTTTCAGGGATTTAGTTTTACACCACGCTCGCTCAAAAGTGCGGCTGCGTCTCTTGAGACTTCTGGTGTCATCTGTTTGCCAGGGTTGTGACAGGCGAGGCCTGGTTCTTCGTGTAGAGAGAGGAGCAAGAGCGTCCAGGGAGGATGATTGATAGTAGTTGTAGGCAGATGAGGCCAGCTCTGGGCAGGACAGTGGTGTTGGTCGGTGTCAGGGTCTCTCCATGGGGGGGAACCAATTTTTGTGTTGCCTAGGGCAGCATGGAACCTAAATACACCACTGACCGTGTCAGCTATCTATGTACTGGAGAGTTACTTGCTGTGTACAGTTGAACTGTTCTCGGTTGTTCCTTTTTTTTTTTCTTTTCATTTGATTATAAAAGGGAAACGATAGACAAAGCAAGTTGTTATTGTTCTGTATGATCTGTAACGGTGCGACAACTGCTTAGATGTTAGAAAGTAGGACTCCATTGTCTGTGCCGAATGTTGGAAATACCGCGTGCACTTTCTATACTGTATATAAGATATATTTATTCATGTTCAATAAAAATAGGATTGAAGACCACATAGACTGTGCATGGCATGTGCATAAATGCAAAAAAAATATTACAAAATAAAAAATATAACTCAGCCCCAAAATGGTGAACTATGTGCAAAGTGCTGGTGTTCAACTCCTGATTTCATATCTTGATTGGTAATTCTTTCCAAGAAACACTCCAATGTGCTCAAATCAGTGCCCCATATGGACTGACACTCACCATCATCCAATGACCATCTATCTCAATGACCATCCACTGACCATCTATCTCTATCTATCTCTATGACCATCCAATGACCATCTACAGTTGTGACCAAAATTATTCAACCCCCAATGCTGTAAAGGGGTTTAGGGACTATAGTGTACATTTGGAATTGTATTCAGAATCAAATCCTACAAGGACGTTGTAACTACCCAAATGCAACTAAAATGACATCAATTGTTTATGTAATACAGTAGTAAATGGTTCTTATGTGGTTTCTTCATTGCCACAATTATTCAACCCCTTAAAGACTACCACTCTGAAGAACAGAGGTTCATACAGGTGCTTTCCATCAGGTATTGAAAACACCTGTGGATGTCACCGAGCAGCAATCAAGCATAATAAGCACCAATTAGGCAGCTTTAAAATGACTGTGATACTCAGCTCCTTCTAGACATTTACTGGTGTGGTTACAAACATGGTGAAGGCAAGAGAATGGTCCAGGAAGACAAGAGAAGAGGTGATTTCTCTTCACAGGAAGGGCAATGGCTATAAGAAGATTGCAAAGATGTTAAACATACCAAGAGACACCTTAGGAAGCATCATTCGCAAATTCAAGGCAAAGGGCACTGTTGAAACGCTACCTGGTCGTGGCAGAAAGAAGATGCTGACTTCGACTGCTGTGCGCTACCTGAAGCGTAGAGTGGAGAGAAGTCCCGTGTGACTGCTGAGGAACTGAGAAAAGATTTGTCAGATGTGGGTACAGAAGTTTCAGCCCAGACAATAAGACGCACACTGCGTAATGAAGGCCTCCGTGCCAGAACTCCCAGGCGTACCCCCTTGCTGTCTCCAAAGAATAAGAAGAGTCGACTGCAGTATGCCAAAAGCCATGTGGACAAACCACAAAAGTTGTGGGATAGTGTTCTGTGGACTGATGAAACAAAATTAGAACTGTTTGGGCCCATGGATCAACGCTATGTTTGGAGGAGGAAGAACAAGGCCTATGATGAAAAGAACACCTTGCCTACTGTGAAGCATGGTGGAGGGTCAATCATGCTTTGGGGCTGTTTTGCTTCTGCAGGTACAGGGAAGCTTCAGCGTGTGCAAGGTACCATGAATTCTCTTCAGTACCAGGAGATATTGGATGGAAACGTGATGCAGTCCGTCACACACCTGAGGCTTGGGAGACGTTGGACCTTTCAACAGGACAATGATCCCAAGCATACCTCCAAGTCCACTAGAGCATGGTTGCAGAGGAAAGGCTGGAACATTTTGGAGTGGCCATCGCAGTCACCAGACTTAAATCCGATTGAGAACCTCTGGTGGGACTTAAAGAAAGCAGTTGCAGTGCGCAAGCCTAAGAATGTGACTGAACTGGAGGCCTTTGCCCATGAAGAATGGGCGAAGATACCCGTAGATCGCTGCAAGACACTTGTGTCAAGCTATGCTTCACGTTTAAAAGCTGTTATAACTGTAAAAGGATGCTGTACTAAGTACTAAGATTGAATGTCACTTGGGGGTTGAATAAAACTGATAATGCTGTGAGCACAGAAAAGACATTTGTGGTTATTTCATTATAACTGTTATGTTATATTTGTCTGACCTACAAGTGCCTCTTTAATGTAAATGTAAGCAAGATGACTGAATGATCAAAAGCAATGTCAAACTGGCCAAAACACTCAATTTCAGTGGGGGTTGAATAATTTTGGTCACAACTGTATCTTCATCCATACCATCCATCAAAAAAAGTGCTCAAATCAGTGCCCCACATGGACTAACACTCGCCATCATCCAATGACCATCTATCTCTATGACCATCCAATGACCATCTATCTCCATCCATACCATCCATCAAAAAAAGTGCTCAAATCAGTGCCCCACATGGACTGACACTCGCCATCATCCAATGACCATCTATCTCTATCTATCTCTATGACCATCTATCTCCATCCATCAAAAAAAGTGCTCAAATCAGTGCCCCACATGGACTGACACTCGCCATCATCCAATGACCATCTATCTCTATAACCATCCAATGACCATCTATCTCTATGACCATCCAATGACCATCTATCTCCATCCATACCATCCATCAAAAAAAAGTGCTCAAATCAGTGCCCCACATGGACTGACACTCACCATCATCCAATGACCATCTATCTCTATAACCATCCAATGACCATCTATCTCTATGACCATCCAATGACCATCTATCTCCATCCATACCATCCATCAAAAAAAGTGCTCAAATCAGTGCCCCACATGGACTGACACTCACCATCATCCAATGACCATCTATCTCTATGACCATCCAATGACCATCTATCTCCATCCATACCATCCATCAAAAAAAGTGCTCAAATCAGTGCCCCACATGAACTGACACTCGCCATCATCCAATGACCATCTATCTCTATGACCATCCAATGACCATCTATCTCTAGAATGGTCATTCACGCTTGCAGGACTATCCCAGTAACCTGAGTGTTGCAGCTTGTGACCAGCTATTCTTGGAATGGTCATCCATTTTCGGATACAGACCATTCCAAGAATAGCTGGTCTCAAGCTGCAACACTTGGATTACTGGGATAGTCCCGCACGCGTGTGACCATTCCAGAGATAGATGGTCATTGGATGATGGTGAGTGTCAGTCCATGTGGGGCACTGATTTGAGCACAGCGGAGCTTTTCTTGGAAAGAATTGCCAGTCAAGGTATGAAATTAGGATTTGAACACCAGCACTTTGCACATAGTTCGTTATTTTGGGACTGAGTTATACTTTTTATTATGTAGTCTTTTTTTTTTTTTTTTTTTTTTTTGCATTTATACAGATGACATGTGCAGTCTATGCGGTTTTCAATTTCATTTGTGTATATAGGTTCACAATATAGGACTGCAGCCACTATTGAAGTTTGTGATATATCGTTTTTTTTTTTTCCATTAAACATAGAATGCAACTTTATGTATCCCTTTAAATAGAATTCTGATATATTTTTTTTTCCGTACAGGAGGATTGATGAACCAAGTTTTCAGTCATGAATACAACTAAGTCACATTGGAAAAAAGAAAATATGGATGTCTTGATTGACTGAAAGTCTTTATTGCAGTTCCCTGTAGGATCCACACAGGACACAAGACTTATCCGTGTTCTAAAAGTCATAAATCTTTTGGATGCCCTTCAACATTGATCCAGCCTCAGAGGACATGAGAAAAGTAATTTCAGTGTTCTGGAAGTGACAACGGCTTTAGAGTCCAACCCATGTATACATAGGAGAAGTCATTTCAAGCTACTTCTTGTATGGAATGTGGAAAAGGTTTTACAATGGAGGCAAAACATATCACACACCAGAAGGTTCACCATGGAAAGCAGTCCTATCGCTGTTCTGAATGTGATAAAGCTTTTACAGTGAAGGGAAAGCTTATCAAACACCAAATGTTTCACACCGGAGAGAAGCCGTATCAGTGTCCCGAATGTGACAAAGTTTTTCTAGCCAAGAAAGGGCTCATCACACACCAAAAGGTTCACACTGGAGAGAAGCCATATCAGTGTTCCGAATGTGATAAAGCTTTTACAACAAAGTCAAATCTTATCGTACACGAGAGGCTTCACACCGGAGAGAAGCCATATCAATGTTCTGAATGTGACAAAGCTTTTACACAGAAGTCGCATCTGATCAATCACCAGATGTTTCACACCGGAGAGAAGCCAAATCAGTGTTCTGAATGTGACAAAGCTTTCAAATGGAAGTCGGAGCTTTTCGCACACCAGAGGATTCACGTTGGAGAGAGGCCATATCCGTGCTCTGAATGTGACAAAGCTTTTACACAGAGGTCACATCTTATCAAACACCAGAGGATTCACGTTGGAGAGAAGCCGTATCAATGTACAGAATGTGGCAAAGATTTTACACATAAGGAAAACTTTATCAGTCACCAGATGATTCACACTGGAGAGAAGCCGCATCAGTGTTCTGAATGTGATAAAGCTTTTATAGCAATGTCAGATCTTCTTAGGCACCAGAGGGTTCACACTGGAGAGAAGCCATATCCTTGTTCTGAATGTGGAAAAGCTTTTGCAGAGAAGGCAAAGCTTATCAGACACCAGGTGGTTCACACCGGAGAGAAGCCGTATCAATGTTCAGAATGCGGCAAATCTTTCACAGTGAAGACAAACCTTATCAGACACCAGAGGGTTCACACCGGAGAGAAACCACATCAGTGTTCTGAATGTGGCAAAGCTTTCACACAGAAGTCAGATCTTGTAGTACACCAGAGGGTCCACACTGGAGAGAAGCCATATCAGTGTTCAGAATGTGGCAAAGCTTTTACACATAAATCAGATCTTGTAGCACACCAGAGGGTCCACACTGGAGAGAAGCCATATCAATGTTCAGATTGTATCAAGGCTTTTACACGGAAGTCACGTCTTATCAGTCACCAGAAGGTTCACACTGGAGAGAAGCTGTATCAGTGATCTGAATGTGGCAAAGCTTTTACAATATGAACTGTTTTCCTTTTGATTCTCATCTTTAATCTTTTTTATGGAGCATTGACTGAACATGTAATTTCCATCATTCACTAACTGAACTGTATTCCCAAGTGTGTTCTTCATTGCCAGAATCTGAGATGACACATGACCAACATTGCCTCAGTACTAGGATGGCATCTTGCCAAGCCTCATTGGGAGAGTCTATTCCAGGCTCTTCTGACTATTGATACATCATCCATCAACCAGGCTTGAGGGCTCCAGGTAAAGTCCACCATCTCCAAACCTCCCATTATATGTTCCACCTCCCCTCCCATGAGCAATGCCTCCTTTCAGTTGGCTACTTGTGTTGCATTTGGTCCTGCTGAACGTTTAAGGGATTCCATCAGGTGAAGAATGAATGATCCTGTTAACCTTTTCCTCTGTTCAGCTATTCCTTATCTCCATAGACTATTCAGTACCAAAGACTAGGATGGCATTTTGCCAAGCCTCATTGGGAGAGTCTACTCCAGGCTCTTCTTACTATTGATACATCAGCCAGGCTTGAGGGCTCCAAGTAAAGCCTACCATCTCCAACCCTCCCATTACATGTTCCACCTCCCTTCCCATGAGAAATGCTTCCTTTCCACATTTCATCTCCTCTCATGGGATACAGCTTTACAGACAGGTCTGTAGCTTGGACACCAGCCAGGGAGAAGTCTTTTATTTGGTGAGAAAGTGAAATCCTAAGCTGACGTAGGCCTTCCAACAGTGAGTTGTTGCTGTTTATGGGATGCATTCAACAGTACACTAAAGTTTAGCTGACTACTTGTGTTGCATTTGGTCCTGCTGAACGTCTAAGGGATTCCATCAGGTGAAGAATGAATGATCCTGTTAACTTTTTCCTCTGTCCAGCTATTCCTCATCTCCATAGACTAATTAGTACCAAAGACTAGGATGGCATCTTGCCAAGCCTCATTGGGAGAGTCTATTCCAGGCTCTTCTGACTATTGATACATCATCCATCAGCCAGGCTTTAGGTAAAGCCCACCATCGCCAAACCTCCCATTACATGTTCCACCTCCCCTCCCATGAGCAATGCCTCCTTTCCACATTTCATCTCCTCTCATGGGTGACAGTTTTACAGATGAGTCTGTAGCTGGGACACCAGCCAGGGAGAAGTCTCAGTTTGGTGAGAAAGCAAAATCCTATGCCTTCCAACAGTGAGTTGCTGCTGTTTATGGGATGCATTCAACAGTACCACTAAAGTTCAGCTGGCTACTTGTGTTGCATTTGGTCCTGATGAACGTCTAAGGGATTCCATCAGGCGAAGAATGAATGATCCTGTTAACCTTTTCCTCTGCCCAGCTATTCCTCATCTCCATAGACTATTCAGTACCAAAGACTAGGATTGCATCTTGCCAAGCCTTACTTGGAGTCTATTCCAGGCTCTTCTGACTATTGATACATCATCCATCAGCCAGGCTTGAAGGCTCCAGGTAAAGCCCACCATCTCCAAACCTCCCATTATATGTTCCACCTCACCTCCCATGAGCAATGCCTCCTTTCAGCTGGCGACTTGTGTTGCATTTGGTCCTGCTGAACGTCTAAGGGATTCCATCAGGTGAAGAATGAATCTGCCTGTTATCTTCTTCCTCTGTCCAGCTACTCCTCATCACAACTGCAAGAGATCATAACTTAGCAAGCGCCAAGTGTGTGGTCATATTCCTACAACTTCTGGTGATTGTTGCAGAGGGAACTCTGTTAATGTTAATGACAGATTGCGTTACACATTAAGTTAGCAAACCTCCTGCTGTTGGTCTTATGTTTGAATTATGTTCTGATATTTACTGTCCTGCTGTAAGTGGTGTAAATGATTACCCAAATGTTTCCTGTAGTAGCAGGGACTACAAACTCCTATTGGGAATATTAGGATGGGTAACTACCCAAGGGATTCACCATCTTGGATCTGGGAGAAACATTCAACATGGTTTCTTAAATTCCATTAATGACACCGACAAGGGCTGTTTCACTTACATCGTTAACAATAGTAGTGCCCTTCAGAGGCTTGGAACATTTCATGGTTCCTCAACATAACTGCAGAATAATAAATCCCCTTTGGTCCAAAGGATTCCTAGTCCTTTCAGATGTTTGCTTCCTTTGCGGAAGGAGCACCCTAAAAAAGCTTCCCTTCAATTTCACCCATAGCTGTACTTTAGGCTATGTTGCCTATCCCATATCTATAGGAGAAAGGCTCAAATTGTCCCAATACTACTCTGGCCTTCCAGGGAGAAGAAATATTTTCTCTAGGGTGGATATACGGTGAACCCTTCATTGATGGGATGGGGAATCTAAGTAATAAAATAAGTAAGAGGAGGAACAAGTGTACTGGAGTCATGGATCAGATAACCAATGACACTATTGATCGCAGATCTGACAGCAGAAGTGGCTCCATAACCTAAGGTGGTGTCACAGAGCTGCATGGCTGATGTCTGACACCAGTTTGTAGACTCCACCTTGAGCTTCTGAGAGATAGACATCAGCCATGCAGCTCTGTGACACCGCCCTAAGTTATGGAGCCACTTCTGCTGTCAGCTCTGTGATCAATAGTCTCATTGGTTATCTGATCCATGACTCCAGTACACTAGTTCCTCCTCTTACTTATTTTATAACTTAGATTCAATTATCCCATCTATGAAAGGTTCTGAGATCCTCATGATCTAAAATAAATGTACAACACTCTCTGACACCAGTTTGTAGACTCCACCTTGAGCTTCTGAGAGCTAGAGAGTGTTGTACATTGATTTTAGATCATGAGGATCTCAGAACTCTCCATAGATGGGATAATGGAATCTAAGTAATAAAATAAGTAAGAGGAGGAACCAGTGTACTGGAGTCATGGATCAGATAACCAATGAGACTATTGATCACAGAGCTGACAGCAGAAGTGGCTCCATAAACTAAGGTGGTGTACCAGAACTGCATGGCTGATGTCTATCTCTCAGAAGCTCAAGGTGGAGTCTACAAACTGGTGTCAGAGAGTGTTGTTCATTTATTTTAGATCATGAGGATCTCAGAAGGGGATATCTACACAAGGAGTTCCAACAGGCACCTGGGTTGAAGGAAGTGGGATACATATTTTTCGATGGGTTTAGTTGGAACTTGGTTGAATAGTATGGTGGGTTTTCTTCATAAGCCATTAGTTGCTACTAAAGTTTTCATAATAATTTTATACGTTGCTACAGCTGGCAGAGTTAATTTTGCATTTTTTAAAATCTTCAGACAGGTCCTCTAACCTTGTAGAAGGCATGGACTTGTTGTGTGAGAATGAGTAAGAGGGTTCCTGGGTTATCTTGTACCCAATGAACTTGGATAAAAGATTATAGTGTCTTCTAGGAATTGACATCAGTTTCTTAGCATAGATCTAAATGGTATAAATATACAAGGGGCTTTCAAGTCAAACCGGTACTTTTGAGTTTAGAAAATAACACATTTCAAAGCGTGGACACTGCATTTATTTTTTGACATACTCCCCTGATACATTTATACACTTATCCCAGCGCCTAACCGAAGCCTGGAAAGCTTCGGCATAGAAAGATTTGGCAGATCTGAACCATCCTAGGACAGCCGGCTTCACTCCTCATCATTGAGTTCACCGTACCCACAGAAAGATTAGTCTCTTGTGCAATTTCGCGCCAGGTTATGTGTCGATTATCCGGGATCAGGCATTCCACGCGCTGAATGTTCACGGGAATGACTGCTGTGGGCCAGGGACCACCATAGTTGGGATCATCACTGACCGACATACGGCCATTTTTTAAACATTTACCCCATTCAAATGTCTGAGTGTCTCATCTGTGTTTGAAGTCTTCTGTAGATATCCGTGGGTTTTGCACCTTTGTTCTCAGGAAACATCATCACCCCGCACTGTTCCACACACGCACCAACACTGTTGTCTGCCATCTTGATGAACGGGCTCTGGGCTGGCCCGCGACACGTGCGCCCCCTATCAGTAATAGGGCACACTTGACAGTATTGTGTAGGATCGCCACGCTAGCATCTCTTTTTATACCTGGAAAATGAAAAGTCCAGCTTTGACTTGAACGCCGTATATACTTGAATTGTAAACAATTTCATTTCTTCTGTTGTGTTCCACATATATGTGATTAATAAAGTTGGATGATATTTTCACCGCACAATGCCGTGGTGGTCTTGATTCTTCTACAGCACATCCACCCGAAAATGTAATCCTTCAGTTATAGGGGTCTGGTGGAATGGATCACAAGTTGATGGTATTTCTTAAGTCCCTTGTACATGGGGTGTCCAGTCCTTGGGAGTGCAGTGCTGGAGTTTTAATACACCTGGTAGGCACAGGTCCAAAGTCTACACTACGGCTGGACGGGGCCAAATGCTGCACCACATTTAACTCGTGTTTAGGGCGCTCTGTCTTCAGAGGGGAAATGGTCACCACCCTGATCAGATAAAGAGGGAGCGGATATTTCTGTATTTACGAGAAGGCTAAAAGTTCTTCCAGGAAAATCGTTCACCAAAAAAGTCATCTCTACTGCATCTCTACTACTAACCGTAGCAGATATACTGCTACAAGGCAGCACGGGTGCGCAAAATCACATATACAGTTGTGTTCAAAATAATAGCAGTGTGTTGAAAAAAGTGAATAAAGCTGAAAATCCTTCCAATAGCTTTTATTTCCATCCACACAAATGCATTGGGAACACGACACATTCTATTCCAAATCACAACATGAAGAAAAATACATCAAATTTGTGTTGTTCCTCTAAAAAAAATGGAAGAAAAGTGAATATTAGACGGTTCAAGAAAATCGCCGTGTTTGTATTCTTCTTTACAAACTCAAACATTCACTATATAAACTGAGAAATGTTTGAAGATTTTGCTTTCCTTTGAATGACTTCATGAATATTTGGTTGTAGTCGCACTGTTTCTGAGAACTGCTGTACATCTGTGTTGCATGGAGTCCCCAACTTCTGGCC